TGTGGCAGATGCCTGAGCTCAGCCAGGAGAGGGCAGTGGCAATGTGGGCACACAAATGAAAATACTGGCACAGTGTGGAAATGTGGGTGAAAACATTCCACAGCCACCTGCTTTGGTCCCAGGGGATGTGGGATCTGCCCTGCATTCCAACCCCCGCCCCCCTCCCACCACCACTGGAATCTTAGTACTGGGAATGGGCACCCTGAGCTGGGAACCAGATACTGGGAATGGGGCACCCTGCACTGGGAAACTGGCACTGGGAATGGGGCACCCTGCACTGGGATCCTGGCACTGGGAATGGGCACCCTGCACTGGGATCCTGGTACTGGGAATGGGCACCCTGCACTGGGATCCTGGCAGTGGGAATGGGGCACCCAGCCATCAGGGACTGCCAGCATGGGGTGGGTGGTGGTGATGCAGTCCCTGGCGTCGGTGTTTGGGATGTGTGGAGTGTGTGATGTGCGTGGGGGCGTAGGGCACATGAGATGCTTGAGGTATATGGGGCTCATGGGGGGAAGTGGGGTGCGTGGGGTGCATCTGGCATGTGGGTTGCATGGCGTACATGGGGTGCATGAGGCACATGGGGCATACAGGGTCCATGGGGTGCACAGGTTGCATGGCACATTGAGGCACATTGGGACAATGTGGGGAGTATGGGGTGTGGGGACACAGGACATGGGTTAGACATGGGGCACGCGGGGTGCCTGGAGCGCAGTGGGGTGCATGGGATGTAGGGGAATTATGGTGTGTATGGGGTGCACAGGGCACACACGGTGGGTTCATGGGGTGCTTGCAGCTCACGGGGCACACGGGGTGTGTGGGGTGCTTGCTCCCCCAAGGCTGCCCTGTGGGACCCTCTCCCTTTTTGTTTGTTCTCTCCGCTCTCCCCTTTCCTCTCCTGCAGCTCTTCGGGTTCCTCAACTTCCTGCTGTGGGCCGGGAACTGCTGGTTCGTGCTGCGGGAGACGCCGTGGCTGCGGCCGCCCGCGCCCGGCGACAGCGCGGCCGAGCAGGGCGCCATCGACAAGCAGTAGCCCCGGGGCCACCAGCCCGGGGATCCGCCCGGCCCCCGGGACCTCGCGCCGGCCGCCAGCCCGGGGACGGGGTGTCGCTGTCCCCGGGCTTGGAGCCGCCGGGGGTTGGGATGCTGAAGGGCGACACGGAACGCCGGGGGTCCCGCTTGTTGTCGGGGGCTCTGTGTGTCACCCCGGGGGTCCGTGTCTGTGTGGGGCGCATAAAGTCCTGGGTACCAGCTGTGCATCCGGCTCCGGTGTCTGCCTCGGTGCCGAGCTGCGCGCACCCGGCTGGGGCACGACCCCTGGTCCATACAGGGATAAACCCGCCCTGTCTCTGGTGCAGGGTGAACTGTACCAGATCCTGGTGCACTGGGATCCTGGCACTGGGAACGGGCACCCTGCACTGGGATCCTGGCACTGGGAATGGGTACCCTGCACTGGGAACCAAACACTGGAAATGGGGCACCCTGCAATGGGAACCAGATATTGGGAATGGGGCACCTTGTACTGAGAACCAGACACTGGGAATGGGGCACATTGTACTGGGATCCCGGTACTGGGAATGGGCACCTTGTACTGGGATCCTGGCACTGGGAATGGGCACCCTGCACTGGGATCCTGGCACTGGGAGTGGGCACCCTGCACTGGGAACCAAACACTGGAAATGGGACACCCTGCACTGGGCACCTGGGAGTGGGAATGTGGCACCCTGCACTGGGAACCAGATATTGGGAATGGGGCACCTTGTACTGAGAACCAGACACTGGGAATGGGCACCCTGCATTGGGAACCCGGTACTGGGAATGGGGCACATTGTACTGGGATCCTGGCACTGGGAATGGGCACCCTGCACTGGGAACCAGACATCAGATCAGTACTGGGCTAATGGAGGATCCCAGACAGGTCACAGGGGACCCCAGAGCAGTAAAAGGATAACCAGGAACCTCAGTCCAGCATTGGGATAATACTGGGAGCACCACTCCAGTATAAGGATCACCTGGAACCCCAGCCTGGAATGGGAATAATGACAGGGAGTCCCAGTTCCATACAGGGATAATAGGGAGCCCCAGAGCAGTGGAAGGATAATGGGGGTCCCAGGCTGGTATAGGCATGACGAGGGTCCCCAGCCCTGCAAGGAATAACCTGGAATCTCCGTCTTGTGTGGCAATACCCTGGGCTGACAGCCCAGTATAGAAGTAACTATACAGACCCCAGCCCCTTATAGGAATAACTGGGGTTCTGGGTCTGGTGTGGGGACAACAGGGAACCCCAACAGAGTATAGGGATACCGGGTACCCCCAAGCTGTTATCAGGATACGGGGTACCCCCATTCTCATACAGGGATAACAGGAGACCCCTTATAGGAACAACTGGAGTTCTGGGTCTGTTATGGGAATAACGGGGAACCCCAACCAACTGTAGGGATACCGAGTGCTCCTAACCTGTTATAGGGATACCGGGTACTCTCATCCCCGTACAGGGACAACAGGAGACCCCAGCCCCTTCTAGGAATAACTAGGATTCTGGGTCTAGTATGGGGACAACAGGGAACCCCAGCCGAGTATAGAGATACCGGGTACCCCCAAGCTGTTACCGGGATACCGGGTACCCCATCCCCGTACAGGGATAACAGGAGACCCCAGCCTGGTGCAGGGATCACTCGGGACGCCCGGCCAGTGCGGGGCAGCGGGTGTGCCCAGCTCAGCGGGCGCCGTGCCGGTGCGGGCTGCCGGGTCGGGCCGGGCGGGGGTCGCTCCGGGACTACCGTGCCCGTGGTGCCGCGGGGCGGGCGGGGCGCGGCACCGGGAGAGGGGAGTCCGGCACCGGGAACCGGCAGCAGGGCATCCCGCACCGGGCACCGGGAACGGGGCATCCTGAGCCGGGAAACGCGAACGGAGCATCCTCCACCGGGCGCTGGGAACCGAGAGCAGGTTCTGCACCGGCTCGTTCTGCTCTGGGAACGGGGCACCGGGAACGGGGCATGCTGCACTGGACACTGGGAAACAGGGCACTGGGAACCCTGTACTGGGCATCGAGACCTGGCATCCAGTACCGGGAGCTGGGCGCACGGCAGAGGGTGCCGGGTCTGGATGCCCAGGGCAGGATTCCCAGTGCCCAGTTCCTGGTGCAGGTTGTCCTGCCATGTCCTAGGTTGTTCCCTGGCACTGGGAACTGGACACCTGGAATGAAGCATCCTGTACTAGCACCTGGCACTGGGAACAGGGCAGCCGGACCTGGCACCCTGCACTGGGATCCTGGTACTGGGAATGGGCACCCTGCACTGGGAAACTGGCACAGGGAATGGGCACCCTGCACTGGGATCCTGGTACTGGGAACAGAACACGCTGCACTGGGATTCTGGTACTGGGAATGGACACCCTGCACTGGGAATCAGATACTGGGAATGGGCACCCTGCACTGGGAATCAGATCTGGGAATGCCCACCTTGCACTGGGATCCTGGCACTGGGAATGGGCACCCTGAGCTGGGATCCTGGCACTGGGAATGGGCACCCTGTGCTGGGAATCAGACACTGGGAATGGGCACCCTGCACTGGGAACCAGACGTTGGCAATGGGGCACCCTGCACTGGGCACCTGGAATCTGGCACTGGGCATCCACACCTGACAGCCAGCACTGGGAACTGGGCACCCAGCACTGGTGAGCATGCACTGGGAATGTGGCATCCTGCTCCAGAACATGCAGAAACAGGAATGGGGCACCCAGCCAGGGCACCAGACCATGGGAGTGGGATATCCTGCAATGGTACCTGGCACAGGAACTGGGCACTGGGAACCTTACCCTGGGCATCCAGACCTGGCACCCAGCACTGAGCACTGGAAACTGGAATGGGCACTTCCTGCATTGGGAATGTGGCATCCAGCACCGGGCATCTGGCACCAGGAATCGGGACTGGGGGTACAGCCAGACATGGCACCTGGTACCAGGAACTGGGCACTCAGCACTGGAAACTGGGATGGGGCATCCTACAAAAGTTGCCCAAACACTGGGAACCTTGCACAGGACACTGGGCACCTGGAACCGGGCACCCTGTGCAAGCACTGGGCAGCCACACTGGGCACTGGGATTCAGGAACTGGGCAGCAGGATCTGTGCAGTATGAACTGGGCACCAGTGTGGCACCAGGCACCCCAGGCTGCCCACTGGGAACCCTGTGCCCGTTATTGGGTGCCCCATCCTGGATTCCAGTGGAATCCAGTGGACACTGGTGGGGGCAGAGCAGTAACTGGAGAGCCTGGACTGGGAATTAGTTGCCACGATTACCAGGCAGGAGGTACTGGGAGCCCCTGGTGGGGGACTGGGCATCACATGCTGGGCACTGGGATATCCTGCTCTGGGAACTGGGCAGGGCACACTGGGAGCCAGGTGCTCCTTACTGGGAGCTCTGGAGTGTCCCAGTGAGCTCTCAGCACTGGGACTGGCTGTCCCAGACTGGGCACCAGTCATGGTGCATCTCAATGGGTCTGGGTGCCCAGTATGGCATGGCCTGACAGGACTGGGGATGGCCTGGGCACCCAGTTTGGCACAGTTGGCCAGGTCGCCATTGCCACTGGCTCAGTGGCCACCAGTGCCCCCAGAAGAGAGCCCAGGCACAGCCAGTGGAGCCATGACTGTATGGGAACCAGGGTGACCCAGGGGTGTCACATCCTGGGATCAGGACGTCCCCAGGGGTGCCATGTGCCAGGACTGGGATGTTACACCTCATCCAGGATGGGGCTGTCTCCAGGGGTGTCCCATCCCAGCACCACGATGTCCTCAGGGATGTTTCATCCCAGGGCAAATACGTCCCAGGGATGTCACATCCCAGGAGTGTCACATCCCCTACTGGGATGTCCCTAGGAACATCCTGCTGGCACTGGGCTCTCAGGATGGGGACCCTGGAGATGGTGACACACCACAGAATGATGTCACTCACAGGATGATGTGTCTCTCTGGTCTAATTTTTCTGGTTTAATTGTTCCAGGAGCAGGAATGCCAGGACCCCCCCTGTGTGGGAGCACCGGGACCGTCCCTGTGCCAGCCACTGACAGGATTTTGTCTCTGGCAGGATCAGGGTCAGAGCTGGAGGAGAATGGCAAGAGTGGCAGCAAGAAACTGGACACCATGACCCTGATTAAGGAAGGTGAGCTCCTCTCTGGGGTGAAACCCAGCATTTCAGGGCTGTGTGAGCTGGGATCCTTGTCTGCAGTGCTCCAGCAGCACCAGCCCTGTGCCAGCTTACTGAGCTCTCCCCACAGACATGGACATCTTCGGGCACTGCCCCGCGCACGACGAGTTCTACCTGGTGGTGTGCAACCACTGCAGCCAAGTGGTGAAGCCCCAGGCCTTCCAGAAGCACTGTGGTGAGCCAAGGAATTTGGAGAATGGCTATTCCACCCCTTGGTGCTGGGAACAGCACCGGGAATGCCACTAGGGCTGGCTGTGGGGGTACAGCGTATGGGCAGGGAGGGGGCTCACAGCAGTGCGGGCTAACAGTGGGGTTATCCCATCCCATCCCATCCCATCCCATCCCATCCCATCCCATCCCATCCCATCCCATCCCATCCCATCCATCCCATCCCATCCCTCCCGGCAGAACGCCGGCACGGCCCGCTCAGCAAGCTCTATGCCCGTGCCACCACGTGCCACGTTGCCGTGAACGGGCAGCCGGTGCCTGGCAGGACCCCCGGAGCAGCCAAATCCCATCCATCCCATCCCATCCCTCCCGGCAGAACGCCGGCACGGCCCGCTCAGCAAGCTCTATGCCCGTGCCACCACGTGCCACGTTGCCGTGAACGGGCAGCCGGTGCCTGGCAGGACCCCCGGAGCAGCCAAAGCCCTGCAGGAGAAGCTCCCTGGTGCCCGTGGGAGAGCCCAGCCCCTCCCTGAGCACACGGACAAGGACAACAGCCTCTGGTGAGCGCTGGCACGGGCGACTGGCCTGATGCTCTTGTGGGGTCGCTTCGATGCCACCCCCTCCTCCCCAAAACTCTCTCCACAGCTTGTTTGTGCCCGTGGTGAACCTGGAGAAGATTCCCAGCATTCCCAAACCGGACGGGCACGGGATCAAGGTGCCCCCCAAAGCCGTCCCCACCAACTCCAAGGAATCCCTGGGGAAAGCCGCGGCTGCCGCGGTGCCCAAAGAGCCCCCGGTGCCCGCCGGGGTCGGGGGGGATTCGGCCATGCCGGAGAGCGTCCCTGCTCCGGGGGACAAGGATGTGGGGGCCCCCAAAGCGCCCCCCAGGTCCCACAGGAAGCTGGCGCGTGAGTCCCCCCTTTCCTTGGCCGTGGGGGGGGGCGGATGATCCCAGCGGGACTTCCTGGGGCCGGAATTCCGGTGGCCGGGTCTAGCAGTGGGGTAGGTACCAGGGGAGTGGCTCCCCCCTCTCCTCTGGAGGGTTGTTGGGGGGTCCCTGCCCTCCCCCCGGTTCTGGTCAGCCTGTAGGTTTAGGGTCCCCACTTGGCTGCTCCCAAGGAATGGGCACAGCAAGGGCGGGATTTGAGGATGGATCCCCATGTGTTCCTCCAAAAGTGGGGGTCAAACGTGTCCCCCATAAAAATATGGAGGTAAAACATGTGCCCCCCACAATATGGGGGTTGAACTTGTGTCCCCCACAGAAACGTGAGAATTGGATATGTGACCCCCAAAAATATATGTGACCCCTCAAATATGCATTCCTCCCAAAATATGGGGGTTGAATACGTGTCCTCCAGAAGAGAGGGGTTGAATATATGTCCCCCCAAAAATATGGGTTTTGGACATGTATCCCTCCAAAATATGGGGGTCAAATGTGTCACCCCAAAATACAGGTGTTAAATAGGTGGTCTCCCAAGATATTGGGGTTAAACACATGTTCTCCCCAAATACATGGGTGAAATGTGTGTCCCCCAAAATACAGGGTCAAATGAGTATCCTCTGAAAGTGTGGGGGTTGAACACATCTCCTCAAAAAATATGGGGGTTAGTCATGTGTCACCCCAAAACAGGGGGGTTGGACTTGTGTCACCCCAAAATATGGAGGCTGAACCCATATCCCCCCAAAATATGGGGGCCAAATGTATTGTCCCTCCAAAAATATGTGGCTATAACACATGTCCCCCCCAGATATGAGGGTCCAACTTGTATCACCCCAAAATATGTGTGTCAGATGTGTGTGCCACCCCAAAATATGGAGTGTGGATGTGTGTCCCCCCAAAATATGGGGTTTGGACATACATCACTCCAAAGATGAGTGTTGGACACATATTCCCCAAAATATGGGAGTCAAACATGTGCCCCCTGCCCCCAAAATACCAGAGCCAATTGCTGCTGTGCCCACAGAGTCTCCCAGGTGATAACAATGCCATTAGCAAGACCCAGGTGAAAATGGGGGGGTCACCCCAGGGAAGGGGCAAAAAAGGTGGGGGGCTCACCCTGCAGAGGAGCCAAAAGGGGAGGGAGCAGCACATGGTGACCCCTTCCCACCCCCTCAGCACTTCTCAGGGCTGTGTCCCCCCCTCAGAGCTGCTCCGAGGTGTGGGTGCTCCATGCCCAGCCCTAGTGGGGGGTGTTGGGGTGCCCCCCCAGCACTCCCCAGCACCCTCTGCCTCCATGTCCCCCCAGGTAAGGAGTGTGACCTGAACCGGCAGTGTGGGGTGCGGAACCCCGACACCAACAAGCTCTGCACCCGCCTGCTGACCTGCAAGGTAGTGGAAAATGGGGAGGGGACACCCCAATATCCCAGCCTGGATGTTCTGGGGGGTCCTGAGCCCCTCCCTGCTGTCGCCCAGATCCACTCGGTGCACCAGCGCCGCGAGGTGCAGGGCCGGGCCAAGGATTTCGATGTGCTGGTGGCCGAGCTCAAGGCCAGCACCCGCCGAGGGGACCCCCCGAAAGACAGGAGCCCCCCTGAGAAGGACCCACTGCACCCTGCCCTGCAGGACACCCCCTCACTGCTGCAGCCCCCCAATACCCCTCCCTGCCGAGCCAGGCTGTCCCACTGCTTGCACCCCCCCAGGTGAGTACCCCATTGATTTGGGGGGTCTCATCTTGCCTTTCCCCACCTGAATTGGGGGGGATGCACTGAAAGGGCAGGAATGGGAGTGGGGATTTGGGGGGGGGGGGTCTATCTCACATTCTCCCCACCTAAACTGGGTTGGAACAGGGATTTGGGGGGTCCCATTCACCAGCTGAATTTGGGGGAATGTGGGTGGGAACAGAGATTTGGAGGGGGCTGGATATTTTCACACAGTGCCCCCCCAGTATCCACCACCCCAAAACTCTGGTGCAGGGCCCGCCTTTCCTCTGCCAGTGACCCTGAGGATGCTCCTGCCACCTCTGGGGAGGGGAGCACAGGGGGCCTCCCTCTCCCCCTGCCCAAGGGGGGCAGCCGTGTGTCCAGCGAGGACAGTGAGGAGGAGGGGGGCGAGGAGCCCCCCCGGACCCCAGTGCGCCCACCACGGCCTCAGGCGGTGAGTGAGGGGACCCCAGAGTGGGACAGGGCCCCCAAATCCACCAGTGACCCATCCATGTGAGACCTCAGAGTGGGGCAGAGACCCCCAAATCCACCAGCAACCCATCCATGTGAGACTGCAGAGTGGGGAGGGACCCCCAAATCCACCAGTGACCCATCCATGGCAGACCCTAGAGTGGGGTGGAGACCCCCAGCTCCACCAGTGACCCATCCATGTGAGACCCCAGCATGGGACAGGGACCCCCACCTCCACCGGCTCCATCCCCGTGTCCTGCTCCCGGTTCCGTGCCAGGTGGGTGGTTGAGGTGGGGGTGTGGGGGGCTGCAGTGACCCTGGCACGGTGCCCCCCCAGTTCTGCACCTTCGGGAGCCGCCTGGTGACCCCGGGCTGTTACGTGTTCGACCGACGGCTGGACCGGTTCTGCGCCGCGCTGGGCTCCATGCTGGAGCAGCACCTCAGCGCACACAGGTGGAGGTGAGGGGGGCCCAGGGCACCAAGGCTGGGGTTTGGGATCCCCGGGGTCCCGGCGTGGTGTTGGGATTGCGGGGGGAGGAAGGGAGTGGGGATTTGGGTGGTCTTGTTGTACCCCCCTCCATTCAAAGTGAGCGGGGTAGGGTGGGGGTGCAGGGATGTGAGTGGGAAATGAGGGGGTCTCGTTTCACCCCATTCTGATCCAAACTGATGAGGATAAGGTGGGGATGGAGGGATGGGAGTGGGGATTTGGGACTCCCTCCCTGCCTGAATCAGGAAGGACTGGGGGGACAAAGATGGGAATGGGGATTTGAGTAGTCCCATTTCACCACCTTCTCACCCAAACTGGGAAAGACGAGATGGGGATGCAGGACTGAGACCAGAGATTGGGGGGGGGGGGGACGGGGC